AGGTTAAGGTATTGCTCGAAAAAATAGAATTTTACTCTAAAAAGCACAAAATACTTACCTCCGCTGACTGAGTCGAAGGTTAATCAGAAGTTGGTCGAACAGGAGTTGGAATAGCCATTTCGACAGAAATTTTGGATTTGGCAGGATTTGTGGCTTTGGTAGTTTTAGCCTGGAAGATGAAAAATTTCCAAATAATAAGCATCTCGAGAAAAACAAAATAAAACTAAACCCAGATCAAATGTTTACCTTAGACACCCCAGAGGCAGCTTGGGGTGTAGATGAATCCTTTTGTAGGGTTTTTGAAGAAGAGCTTTTTTTAGTAGATTTCTGTTTTTTCTTAGGAGGCTCATCTTCTTCCCAATCCTCTTGGTCATATCGACCAACAAAAGGTTCTGTTGGAAGAGCTGTAAAAGTACTCGAAAAAGGTTAAAATCAAATAAAAAATACAAAAGGTATTTCGAAAAAAAAAAGCAGGGCAAATCTTACCATCTTTAAACTTTGTAAGGATTCTCACATCTTGAATATCAAGGTGAAGAGGGTAAGGATATGTTTTAAAAGAAAATCTCGAAGCTGTTATTCTACTTCGAGGAGGGGATAATTCGTTCAAAAGAGTCGAAGGTAGATCGACCCATTTAGGAGAAATTATGGGTAAAGCCAGAGCAAAGTTACAGTTTGGCAAAGGTGGAAAAGTTGGTCAAAATTTTTTAAAAAAGATTTCTTCTATGAACTTCTCAAAAGGATGAAAATCCCTATACCTATTTACTCTTTCTTTTGTTTTTTCTCTCAAGGAAAGAGCAACTTCAAAAATAGTTTGGGATATTCTTTGTGGTAAGTAAAGTACTTTAAAAAATCGTTCAAAAGATTGGATTTCTCGAATATGCGTACCTCTTGTCTTGGCCTTTGGATCCCCCTTCTGAAATATAGAAAAAGCAGAAGTCATCTTCTGGTTGCACGCTTCGATAGATATCTCAGGGTGATGATAATAAGTAGACCACCAACTTTGAAAAGTGCTGGTACAGTAAAAAATAGGCTCAAACTCAAAAGGGGAAATTTCTGGCCTACGTTTTCGAAAGAAACTAATAGCCTCATTCAAATCATCAATACTCTTTCGAGCGTTTTCAAGAATATCGAGATTTGACCCCTCCAACATGAAAGAAGGTTTTAATTGACCCAACCCAAATTGTCGAGCTACCAGATTTGGTTGATAAGTAACCACTTGATAGGGCCTATGAGTGAAACTACAAAAAAGAAGTTGACATGAAAGAAACTGTCTCCATGTCATTAAAACTTCAGACTGGGCACTTGGGGTCCTCGAAGGAAAAGGACATTTAAACCATACTGGCCCTACCTTTCGAGCAGAAAAAGGAGCAAGTTGAGGAGTGAAAGATTGAAGAGATAAGAAAAAATTGAAATATTGTCGAAAAGCATTACAATAGTATTTTTTGACTATGTTAGTAGTCAAGAAAGTCAAACGGAAACCTTCAATCTCTCGAGAAATATTGGGTGGTTCAGAGCTTTGTAATTTTTCTTCAAAAATACATTCAGCCAGAGCTGAAGCAGCCAAAAAGGGCCACTAATGACTGAAGGAAAGTCACTAGACTTAAATGAAGCTACAGCCTCATTTAAATTCTCATACAAATTCCCTAAGATAAGCTTCCCAAGGCATATTGAAGACTCTTCGTGTAGTAATTGGGCCAAAGTAAGCAGTGTCTTTTGTACTTGGAGCGATCTCGAGCAAAAAACATATGCGGAAAGCCAAAACATCAGAAAAGCAACATGCTCCTCATCAGTAACGGGACCATCTCGATTCATATTCAAGGTTATGAAGAGTTGGTAAGAAAGCTTTTGGAAGTTGGGGGTTACATCAGGATTTTTTGGATGAGAATCTGGTCGAAATGAAGGACCAGTTGGCCTAAGCCCAAGAATGGCAGCCACATCGAAAAGAGTTGGGGTAATCATACCACAAGGCACGTGGAAAGAGCTAGTTGCTCGATCCCAGAAGAAAAGAGAACTCATGATCATAGGGAAGTTGTAAGACAGATTGTACCTAGACAATTGAATGATATCATAGATTCCTATGGCCCTCCAACTATCTTGTTTTTCACCCTCAACTCTATCTAACCAAGGCAAATATAAGTATTTGGTTACAGGAGGCATAGTTCTAAATATTTTTTGAGCATTCTCGAGAGAGTCCAAGTTATATTTGGAAGAAAATGCCAAGACTCCATCAGCGGAAAACTCGACAGATGACTGGGGAACAAAAGGACCTAAAAATACATGAGGTTTCGAGCCTAATGAAAAGGGAATGAGTACCTGGGATTTCCAAATAGCCAGTTTCTCCTCCTCGAGAGGTGGCTCAGGAAGGTAGCTCGAATGACCCAAAGGAACGAGCTCAGCATTGGAGAAGGCAGAGGGAACCTTAGACTTTGAGGCCATTTCGACGAGAAAAAGAGAAGATAGGAAAAAACTGGAAGAGATTTCGACACAAAAGTAGAAGAGAGAGAACATAGCTCTTAAGAGGGGAGTAAAATATGAAAGTGTAAAAAATGGGAAGGTAACTTCGCCTTTTTATACTGGTCCCCAACCTCGTGCAAGGCCCATACAAGAGCCCAAGTCCAGAGTATTTTGGCACTTAGTGGGAAGATGAAGAGATAGTGGGGTGTCTTTTCGATCAAAAATGGCCTTAAATCCCCAACAGAACGGAGCACGTCTCAATAATGGGACATTTTCGGTAACTGCCAAGCAGTACCTGCATTTATTGCGCCGACTTTGAGCGACGTGCCTGACATAAAGCAGGTAAGTGGCAGAGACGCCATAAGAAATGGCGGGAAAAGTAGAAAATGAAAATTTTTCAATTAAATATCAAAATAAAAAATATTAAAATCTCATCAACCTGAGATATTAATATTTTGGGGGGCATCTGTTTGGGATAAGGAAAATTTTCTAAGTTAAAAATCATCTTGAAGGAAACTACATTTCAACAAGTTTTGAGGGTCAAGAAGGAGCCAAAGATAAACCTGAGCATAAGAGAATATTGGAAGATCTTTGGTTTTAATTAAAAGGAACACATTTCGAGTTATTTTAAGAGATTTTTGTCACATTGTTGATTTTTCTCTAAACTGCTTGAAAGACAAGAAAATATTCTAAGACCACAAAACTAAAGGCTTTTTCGAGAAGTTTTGAGGAGTTTTTAAGTCACTGACACCCAAAACTACTCGAAAAATAGAACTGGCAAGAAAATATTCCAAGTCCACAAAACTGATGATTTTTCGAGGAGTTTTCAAGTCCCTGACACCCAAAACTGCTCGAAAAACAAGACTAACAGGAAAATATTCTAAGTCCACAACAAATTGATGGCTTTTCGAGGAATATTTGAGGAGTTTTCAAGTACCTGACACCCAAAACTGCTCGAAAAGCAGGAAGTGGTAAGAAAATATTCCAAGTCCACAAACTTGGCTGAGCTCCAGATTTCCTCCAGAATTGCTCGAAAAACAAGAAGTGGTCAGAAAATATTCTAAGTCCATAAATCTGGTCGAGCTTAAGAGTCCCTCCAAAATTGCTCGAAAAACAGAAATGAGCAAAGAAAATGTTCTAAGTCCACAAGACCAAGACAGACTCTCAAAACTCCAGAATGGCTCGAAAAGAGAAGTCAAGAAGAAACTATTCCAAGGCTATAACATTAAAAGAGTTTCCTAGGGTTCTCTCAGAAATACTCGAAAAATAGGAGTATTGAAAAATCCAAAAGCGGTTACCAGTAGTTATTAACATTCACCACTACGCAAAGGAGATCATGGGCGATAGCGGTTACAGCCCCAACAAACAGCACGATCACAAGCAATCGTGGATAGTGAGCATCAACAGTTGAAGACAGTTACTAAGAAGTGCCCGCAAAAGGAAGAAAACGGTGGTGATCTTCATGTCTATAAATACTACAAAGCATTATTTCACAGAGGACGACTTTTTGCACCCAGACACCGCACCTAAACACTCTGAGACGCTGAAACCCTGCACCGCGCCAGACACCAGCTACAAGGAGACCCACGGTGACCGTTGTTCGTCGTTGTGAGGAGTCGTACGTTTACTTTCCAGCACCTTTACATTCCTGTATTTACCTTTCTGCATTTTAATTTCAGTGCTTGTTGCTTGTATCTATGTACATTGTTTGTTTCCGGTTTACTATATTTTTGTAAAAGCATCTGCATTTGATTCAATTCTGCACATTTATTATTCACTATTCTTGCTTAATACTCTTTTACGCCGTTAATCTGAGCATCACGTTAACAACACACTTAAAAGAACCCAAAGAGGACCTAAATTCAGTTCCCAGATTGATCTTTGGATTATTTGTTTACAACAGTCATTTTTCACCGTAAACATCAACTTTCAGATATTATAAGAAATGGAGATATTGGGCTTAGTCCTAAAAGTTATATATAATAGGCTGTTCAAAGTTTTATTTTATCTGTTGAAATTCTAAAATTGATAATATTGATATTCAAAATTAGGTTGATGACATTGAAAGTCAGAGAAAGAAAAAGTTCTTTGAGAAATAATTTAAAAAAAAGGAACTAGTACATTTTTCTATGAATATTTTTTATTAATAATAATATTTTTATTTTATCATATAAAAAAATAAAATTATTTGATTATTTGATCACCATAAAGAATACCTATGGAGAAAACTTTCCATTAAATGAGAAGTTATTTATGTCAGTAGATTCAGTATACGTTGACACGTTATGCTCTAGCTCGCATCAACCAACAAGGCACTTGATGCTCCTTTTTTGGTTGTCAATTATACCTTGCTTCATTGATTGAGTTACCCTCAAACTCAATCAATTGCATGCCTCACATACCCACATCAGAATCATTCTTTAATTTCCTATTTAACAAGCTTACAGAGAATCACACGGCATTCATTGAAATCACAGAGAAGGGTGAAGTTAGGATCACTATAAAGTTGAACGAAAACTATACTATATTTGTTGTAGAAAAGCTAGTAATTTGTGGAGAGTGATGGCTGATTGGGGTCCAGTGGTGATATCAGTGGTGTTATTCGTGCTATTAAGCCCAGGATTGTTGTTTCAGCTGCCAGGAAAGGGAAGGGTGGTGGCGTTTGGGAGCATGCAAACCAGTGGCCTTTCTATCTTAGTCCACACTATCATCTTCTTTGGACTCATCACCATATTTCTACTTGCTATTGGTGTGCATATCTACTCAGGATAATCACCCCCTACCAATGTACCACAACATCTTATTTTATTTTATTATTGGTGTCTTCGTTTTTATTCTTTTTTAATTATTCTGATTTCAATCATTTTGTTGTACTTTTAAGATGTGATAAAAAGATTGGTGATTTAATTGCTTTTTTTTTTATAAAAAAAATTCTCTAGCTTATAGAATATCTTATGTGCTTCTTCTGGGGCGTTTAAAATTAAACTAAATTATTTCTAAACTGTTAAATCATGATGAAACAATAAACAATAGAATATATCACATTTTATACCGTAGTTTAATTTATTTATTTTTAATTATTAAAATTGAACTAAACTAAATTATATTTATAATGTATCTATATTACTTTTATTATATTTATTAACTCTGTGTGTTGTTTTTATTGCTGACTCGGTTTGGATTTGAAAGTTATGCATTTAATGTTTCTCTTGTAAAGCAATGCTAAAGGTTTGGTTAGCTTACTTGAAGTCTATAAGCAAAGTCTATCTAACAAAGTTGATAGATAACTGGATTAGTTAAACATGCTAATCTGAGTTTGATAGATGTGGAAAATTTTCGTGGAGAAATATGAAGTTCATTTCAATAATCTCTATAACTTTAAGGAAAATAATCCCTAACTGTGAATAAAAAGTAGAAAATAGAAAACCAACTAGTTACTTGGATCATGATTAACAATCACAATTTCTGGCATCCTACAGTGATAGCAAATTTTTTTCTCACTTTAAAATATTTTATTTAAAGAAATTGTATGAATAAAAGTTGCCTGTTTCACTGTGTGTGGGTAACTTATTTCTTTGCAAAATCTATATTTAAGATTGAAAAGTATTAAAAAAAAAGTCTCCAACAGTGACAAAATCCTTTTTAAACAAGCAAAAGTTAGATTAGACGGAGTCCGGCTCAAGCAAAACATAATTCCCTTTTCAATAATAACTAAATTTAATTATCGGGCTATGCACAGATTGATAAAACTAATTTTACTTATAATAATTAATGACAAGTTATAATAAAAATATCATTTTTATTGTTAATTATTTTTTTAAAATATCTTTGATTAATAAATTAAATTTTATTAACATGATAATATATTTTTCTATTATTATTTAGTCACGGATTATTATATTAATGAAAATGATTAATTTTTATAATAATTATTTTAAAAGGTAAATCTGTCATATTTTATAATTGATTGATAATGTTAAAAAATTTATACTGATAAAATCAACATTATATTTATAAATTAATATTATAAATCAGTCGTTCCCTTTTGTTAGTTGATAAAACTCACATGACGCTTACCCAATAATATGTTGAAAATTTTGTCAAAAGGCGTGCTATTATAATATATCTTTTTAAAATCTGAAAATAAGAAAAGAACATTTTGGATTCTTTATCTCTTTATCTAGAGCAACCATCGGATCCGAAATTTGCTCCTTGCTCAAGTACATCCATGTTCTCGACTGAGTTAGATAATATTTTCCATCACTTTTTATAGAATATACACCACGTTTAGATATGGAAAAAAATAAAAAAAGATATTCAGAAGCCTATAATTCAAAATTTACAAAAGTTATTATGAAGATTAAAAAAAACAATTGACAGCAAAGGGCAGTAGCTGGGAACAACTCCTCGATTCTTAGTGATTCAGAACTTCGATAATTGTAATTATAAGAGGCCATATCCACAAATTTTGATACTCTTGACAAAACCCACGATTCCTGCTTCTTGTGAGAGAAGTTCCCTAATCTTCATAATTCTACAGGCTGCATGAGCAGGCACAAAACCAGTATCGAACTGGTCAATTCCATTATAAATCTTTTCATAGAAGTTTCCACTCTGAACAACAAAAATTTGTAATGAAGTTGTCAGGCTCATAATCCAACCAAAAAGAGTGATACAATCGGAGACATAAGCCGCACGGTTTCAAGTCAAAACAAACATCCAAATTGTAAGGACTAAATTGTAATTTACTTTTCAGATTGGAAGCTTTTACATTGGTTTATATGGGTTATGCAATCAAAGCCAAACAAAGATAAAATTTGCCAACTTAGCCAAAACAGGTTGAATTTGCAAACTTTGTCAGCCTCAAGTAACATTGATACACCAGCGCAGCTTCAATCACTTCCCAATAAGAATGTTGGAAAACAATGAGTACAATTTGTGTACTTTATTTTATACACTTAACTGTTTTAAAACAAAAACTAATTTTGCAGATCCAACACTTGACTGAATAATAATAATAATATCCAGCATTTCTTTTTTGGATTCAACATAGCCTACATAACAAAATAGTGTATCTCATTATCATAATTTCCACTTTACTAACTCAAATAAAATTTGAACTTAAACCTTTACAATGATGTATCTTATTCTTATTCATACGAAAATCCATTTAAAAAAGAAAACAATAAGTTAAAATAACGAATGCAACAACTTTAGCACAAAATCCTTTATTGTCAAATTGCTAGTCTGCTATATCATGTGTGGCAATAGCAAATTCTATCTACATCACACTGAACAGTAGCTAATCTATCAGCAATATGGGTATTGCCCTTTGCACAACTGCATCGTTGGTTATGAGAAGTACCAATATAGGAGGGTCAATAAGTAAAGTTGAAATAACGTAGGGCTTGCATCTTGAATCTTTAACAAACATGGGTAATTAAGGCACAAGACTAACATAGTAACATGTTACCAGAGATTTTTTATTTTTTATTTTTAATGCTCGCAAAAGCTCAACCAAACCAGAGGTGGGAAAACAACATTGCTGAAGGTCAAACCAGAAATCCTAATCTTCATCAATTTGAAAGATCCACCCATAGAACAGAAAGAATCTAGATAAGGAAAAGAAAAGAAATTAAAAAAAAAAAAAAACCTCCTTAATAGCTTAAAGACTAAATGGTGGAATTTCATTATGCAATCTTTCAAAGGCACATAAGTCTTTCTCCAATTTCTTCGTAAAAATGAAAAACCCAGAAAATTGGAGAACAAAAACAAACAAACAAAACACAAGCAGGAGAGAAACAGATAATCAAACATTCATATACAGAATTATTGTAAAAAAGAGTTAGTATTTACATAATAGACCATAGATGAATGGTCCCTCCATTAACTTATCCATTACGCACTCTTAAATCTCCACAATTTCTATTACAATTTTCTTCTCAATGCGTAAACGGCCAAGATTTTTCCTTTTTAGAATAAAATAAAATCGTAGAAAGGATTTTTAAAATGGTAGATTAAGTTTTTCAAACAAAATATATTTAGCTTTTTTCCTTACCAGGAAGATCCTTGCGCGGCGTAGCGTAACAAAGAATGGAACGTCCAAGAACGGAGAGAGAGGAGAGGATCCCAGCAACGTAGAACACCATCACCAATCCAAGAACCCAAGGCATAAGCATAAACCCGATGAAGAAAGTAACCGATCCACACAGCATCAGAGCCACCGAAATCCCCAAAAGCAGCGACGCGAACCCCGCCGGCGTTATCTGACCCGCCGACGACGAACGCCTCGAAGGCGACCCCACCACGAGAGCCGGTGACCGGAGAAGGTTGAAAACGAGAGCCGACAGCTCGCAAAAAACCCTAGATTGTTGATCTTGCTGCCCTCTCATCGTGTCTTATTGTTTTTTTGGTTCTTTCCGAAAATCCGAGGAGTAAAAGAATCGATGCAATAATAATAATAATTTGTAGAAAAATAAATAAAATTGGTTTTTTTTTTATATATATAATTTAGATGAAGAGGGAATCGAAATTGGGAGAAACAGGGTAGATGGATAAACTCATATGAATTTAATGTGATTTGAAAATGGGGGTTTTGATTGATGAAGCGTTGTGGTTTTGCTTTGCAGTGTTTGAGGAATGAGCTTGTTGATGTTATTGTTGAGGGAAAGAGAGAGTGGAAAGTTGAAGAAAAGAGGGTTTGGTTGGTTACATAGTTGGAAGATCAAATGTGTTGCGTTACGTTTGGATTTTGGTTGGACAGAGTGGTTTGATAATTGTTGTTATGAGACTGCCAATTAAATGCAGCAAAGATGTTGGCTTCTATTTGGATTGTTTGGATGATGCGACAAAAACTTTCTATTTTAAATTAACATTTTTTTAAATTAAAATATAAATTAATGCTTTAATATTAACTGCGTGTGTTTATTAGTGTAAATGATATTTTGTTATTTTAATTTAAAATTAAAAAATAAAATTTTCTTTTTTTTTCAAAACTCATCTTTTAAGAGTCTTGAAATACGCTTTTTAATTTATAATTTTTTTAAAACTTGTAGTTAAATATATACAAAATTTAAAATTACTATAAAATTAATGTATTAATAATATTAAATGATAAAATATTATTTATCATATATCTTAATCAATATTAGGATTTTAAATATGTATCTAATAACATATATATTTAAAAAATCAGAAAATAATAAGTTTTTGTTAATGAATGTAATATTGAATGTCAATAGTATATTGAATGTATAATATTTTATTGTTTATAGTAAATTTTTAGAATACATCATTAAATATATGTTAAAAATATTATTTATAAAAATATTTTATACTTTTGTAAAATTGTTTTAATAAAATTTGTAATTAAAATTATTATATTATAATGTAAAAAGATATTAATAAATATTTAATTATTTATATATGTAAACGTACCCTCAATCAATAATCATGAATATGCATTCTTCAAGCAAAGCATTGACAAATGGATTGGTATACGTCGTTGGAGAGTAGTGGAGGCAGCAAATTTAGGTGGCAACTAGAAAATTGTGTGGGATCTAATGACGTGGGCCTCACCCCCATCACCCCATGTCCCTTATCTTCTTCACAATTTTAATTTGGAAATTAATTTAAACGAGTAAAACGTTAAATTAGTTAAAAATTAAAGTATCACTGAGTACCTACATTAATATTTTAAAAATATAAAATGTTATTATATTAATATTTCGAGCATTTTCTCATTAAATTAATCTTTTAAAAATTATTTATAGTCAAACCAATCATTTAAAGATTTAAAATATAATATATTAGAAAATATTTTTAAAATTATTATATTAGTCTTTAGAAGGAATAAAAGTAAATAAAATTATTTAAAAAATAAAATAAAATTTCACCAAATTAATATGTGACTAAAATAATGATAAAATGACTAATTCAACGCAAAAACAAATTTTAAAAAAGTAATGTGAGAATAATTGAAATATTTAAAATATCAAATTGATCACTCAAATCTTAAAAAAATTAGTTGAATAGTTTGCATAATAAATAAGTATTTTATTTTATAATAAATATACATATAATTTAATATTTAATAAATAAAATTTTATATTTTTGTAAATAATTATATACATATATATACTAAAATTATTTTGATTTAACTATATGAATATAAAATTATTAAAATGATAAATAACAATAAAATTAAGTATTTTTAATATAATATTTTATCATATAATGTAAAAAAAATAAATTAAATGTCAATAATTAATATAAAACAAGCTTTAAAAAGTAGTTTATTAATTTTTTGCTTGTATAAAAAACTAATTTTTTAAAAATCTTACTCTTACTATATTTGTTTTTTATTATTCTCTTACATGTTTTTCTTTCTAACACACCCATAAATAAAAGTAACAATGCATGCATTCAATGTGGCACTACCCTACCATTACACATATTCAATGAGATTTGGTCTAATTTAACATGCAATATTCATCTCAACGAATACAAAAATATTAAATACATAAAAGAAAGATTTCAGTACTTATAATAATTCTCAAGTCCTAAATTATAAAATCATGTAGGGCAGAGCTTTCTGGTCAGATACATTTATTTAACACATTATTTAATGTATTTTGTATAATTAATTAATTTATTAAAAGATGAAAATACTTGTTTAGTGAAATAATTATTTTTAAAAATTCTAATCATAAAAATAATATTAAAGAGAGTTTTCAAAAAAGTATAATGCTAAATTTCTTTTGATAAACAATTGGGTGTCCCTCATTTGTTATTTTGGTGAGAAGCTTTACGCAACTTTACTTTACTTGTAGAAATCGACCAAAACAAAACTTTACTTGCAGTAATTGACTTGTTTCGAGTTAGGTGGCTCATGGTTGGGTGCATTGGAAGCAGGAACGTATCAATTTGGGGTGTGTCCCTTCCAACGGACGTAACGAGGACTTTGGCTGTGTTTAACTTGCATTTTAGATAATTTTAAATTATTTAAGTATTAAATTTTATAAAGACTGCTTCATGAATAATATTATTTTTTTAATTCCCTAATCAATATTTTTAAGATATTTGTTAGCATTTGTTATCATTTAATTATTAGTTGAAAATAAAATCATTTAATAAAAAAATATTTTATTCATTCATTCATATCCCCTTTCTAATTTTTCCGTCCAGATAGAAAAAGTTACATTGATTGCATATTTTAATTGCTTCGTTATATATATAATCACTGTGATAAATTATTTATCAATTTTGTTTTCTATAAAAAATTATAAAATTAATATGTTGGATAAAAAATTTTAACCTAACAATTAAATGATTCAATCTCATATTTCATAAAAACTATTAAATGCAATAATTGTTCAAATTTAAAAGAAATTGTTTCATTAGATATGGTTCATGTGTTAAAAAAATACTAATAATTTATTCATTTAAACATACTTTTCAACACTTTTTTTATTGTTATATTTTTAAAAAAGTCAATAACCTTAAATAAGTGAACAATTTGTAAAATACATACTTTAATTTATTAAACAAATAAATTATTGATGAAAAATGTGTTACTAACATTTGTGTGTGTGTATATATATATATATATATATATATTGTTAAAATCTATTAATATCAAGTGTCAAATTTAAATACTTATATAATTTAATAATTTTGTATAAAATACAAAATAAATTAAAACTTCATTAAATTTCTCATTGTTGTTACTCACAAACTTGCCTAGTTATTGGCAAGGAAGGGAATGGAAAGGCTTTTTTTTTTTTCAAAATAAAAAAAAAACTAATTCCTAAACTAATATTAAATTTAAAGTATTTCTCTAAGACTGTTTTTTACCACGTTATACGTACCTTGAGTAAAACTGCATTTCAAATGAGGGAGGGCTTTTCATGGACGAGGGAACCCAATCCATTTACAGGTGTTGCAGCTTTTTTTTAAAAAGTACTGGCCCTTAAGAACAATACTTAAAAACAATAAAAAAAAATTAAGTATCATATTAAGTGAAACTATCTTTATTTAAAAATAATAAAATCACTTTTATAATTATAATATTTAAGTTGACGTACAAAAAAAAAAGTTTAAATTTAACATTAGTTTATAAATTAGATGGAAATGATTTTTATGGCTTTAGAACAATATCGTGTTACCCGACTACTATCGTGTAAAGAGATCATTAATTAAGGAGTCATTGCGGAATATGCCATAGACCATGTTTTAGCATTTAACAATTTTATTAATCTCAACTTTTAAAATTAAATTTATTAAAAAAAAGAAGAAGATACTGTTTATTATATTAAAAATACAAAAAAATAATAAATATTTTTTAATAAAATTTCACTATTATTTAATACATAAACTTTACTTTAAAAGTTTAACAAAACCATATATTAATTAGGTCAAACAAGCCGATGAAGCAAACTAACGATTACAACCCTTCGTGATATAACATCAAGTTTAAGAATGTGATATGACACATTGAAAGATTACATCAGTGAATTCCCTCAAGTTCAGATTCGCCCGAGCTTTCAGCATCGATACTATATATAAGAAGGCAAGCAGCAAGATCACGATATGGTTCTTTTTGGTCAACTATCATGACATGGTTGCTTATGACATGCATTATGCACACATTAAATTGATGACTGAGTGCAAGTTAGCTGCATCAGAGACCAGGAAACAGATTATGCACGACCGGATCGGTTTTAGCACCTTCCATAGAGCGTGTAATTGCCTTATCGATGTCACTAGCTTTTTCTTGTGCCGCTATCTGGAGCAGGTGAAAAACTGTTATTGGAGATAGATTATCTTTACAGTTTTATCCAAAGATTCAGCTCGAATAGGCTGATTTTAGCTGTGAATTGACTTGTCAGATAACTACGGGTGATTTGATTATTAGATCTACTGTTATAAATTGAAGATTAACTCAAGTAACGTTGACTATTTCTTCACAATTACATGTTAATAACAATGTCCCTATTATATTTATAATATACATAATATATATGTTTCAATTGATTTGAATAATAATTCATTGGTTAAACTATTAATGACCCCTTAACTCATAGTTCCACTTAAATTTAATATGATATCTGAAAGTCATCCAACTCGGATGTTTATACATTTTCTTGGTTCGTTTGTATCTCCAATAACAAATGAGTTGTGTGTAATTAGTTTTTTTTTTTTTTTTTTGCATATTAAGATAATAAAGTCATATATTAATAAGTTAACAACAAATTAAAAAATATATAAATAAAAAAGATCATAACTCTAAAACTGTCTAAAACATTTTTAAAAAAATAAGTCAAGTTTTTTATGTCACTCAAAAAAGTATAGATTTTTCCTCAAACTCTTGGATTGGATCAAATTAAAAATTCACATATGATATCAAAGTTTAGATTAAAAAATAAAAAGCCAACATTTTAAAAAAATCAAGAAAAAAACATGATATTAGTTTTCTTTTTTAAAAGAGCACAAGTTCATACTTTAAAAAACAAACTTAAAATAAGTGTCCAAAGTAAGAAGTACAATCTCAAACTAAAAATTTGAAGTATGACATGGAAGTCCAAATCCAAAAATATAAAAATAAAATAAAAGGCCCAAATTTAAAAATAGACTACTAACATTAATTTTTTTTTATAAAAGAAGAGCATAAATCAACCAATTTAAAGTAGATCCCAAAACTTGAAATGCAAGTCCCGACTAAAACAAATTAATAAGTATACATGCTATCCGTCCTTCCTCTGCTCTGGAAATGATAATTTAAGAATTTCTATGATTTTAAGTACGAGTCCCATCATTTATTCTGGTTAAATTGATTTGAAAAATGTTAGACTCGATCAGTTTGAATCGAGTGTTGGAATTGCCATCCTTCGACCTTATTCAATGACCTGATTTATTATTATTATTATTATAAATAAAATTGAATGTATATTTTTTTAAAGATTCAATTCTTAACCTGATCTAACTTGTTCCTTAACCGATTAGTTCAATTCAAGGTACCAATTTAAAATCAACTAAACCTATCTTAACTTGTTCAATTTTAATCGATTTAGGTTTTTTTACCTTTTAGGCCCAACCTAACCCTCCTGTTAACCGCCCTATTCTCAGTTTAAGAATTAAGTAAAATATAATGATATTGCAGGATATTCCTCTTCCATCAGTACTTTTGTGTTATTTAGAATGCAAGATATTAGCATATAACTTTAAAGCTCATGACTTCAAAAATTACATCTTTACCTGTTTCTCCAGAAGCTCATTTTCTTTGCTCAAGATATGTTCCTGGAAGCAGCAAAAAAATGCTAACATGTTTAATAAACCATAATTGAACATTTATCCATGGTTGATCATTCTGAATCTAGTTCTATATTTAGATAGTGAAGAAAAAGTACAATTACATAATTGCATATGAATGTGCGGAAACAGATAAAATGGTTCTTCTCATTTATCCATGGTATATGATTTAGGCCATTTAACTTACTATATCTAACAAAGGAACATGTTAGTGTACTTTTATCTCTTCTCATTATATGGTTTTGGTATATTTCTTTGATCTCTTCTCACATGTTATCTATTTCTACTTTTTTAAAAGTATTTTGTTAACTCCAACTCTTAAGACTAAATATTTAGATGTCAAAAATAATATATTTTTATTGAGAAAAAATATAAAAAAATAAAAAACTTAAATAAATACAATGAATATTGTTAGTAATGTTTGTTAATTAAAATTAAATTTATTTTGACAATATGAGCTGACTTTTAATATTGACCTTTATTATGCAGATTAGTAAAGTAAAATTTTAATTTTAATTAGAAAATAACATCAACAGTACATATGCAACTAACCTAAGTTCTGTCCTAAAAATCTCTCTTTCTCCGTTTAGAGAAATGGACATGATGCAAATTGAAAATAAACCACTGTTAGAACGTTTTGTAACTCAAACTAAGCTATAACTTGAAAGTACTTAATAACACAGTTGAAAGAAACGATTTCATTCATCTAACATGATACATAATCTGCAATCATTTCAAATTGTAAGTATATTTTAAGAATCCATTTCTCTTTCAGAAACTTTAAAGGTTATGTTAGGAATGCTAGGTCAGGAAATAAAAAACAAGAAGGAAAAAGCTTCTTGCGGAACAAAGTCTGCTACTTGAGTCGAATTGAAAAGTCGACTTAGGTATTGAACAACTCTAAGCCTCTGGCACTTTGGTCATCTTTCATAAGAAACATTTTATTGAGGCCATATGGACCAAAACCCACATATTCACTTATGTTGGGTTAAGTTTCTCTGTTATGGTAAGAGGTGTACAAAATGAAATCGAGACATTTTTCATGGTAATTATTCTATTGAGCTTAAATTTAATTTAATATTTTAAAACATTAAGTCTGGAATTATTTTTAATTATAATTTCCACTCAACATTTTTTACTAATGTGGTTTTTATATCATGCTTATATAAAAGGTTTAGTCAAATTATACATTTACTTTCATCTTCAACGTTAAAATGAATTCCTAAGAAATGAGAGACAGTAGTATTCTCGAAAATTGATAATAGACAAGCCATTTCAAGTTTGACATTTTATATACCCCCAAAACTTCTCCCGAAAGAATCAAACATGTTACTAAATCAGTTTAGGATGGATAAAATTAATTTTATATAAAAGTTTGTCTATTAAATTTATTAGAGTTCTGTAAGATGCAGTATGTGCAGTATGAATATAAGGTGATTCAAGTTAGCGTCACTCACTTGTATGAATATAAGGTGCCTAGAAATTTAATGTTTCATTCGGAATTTCAATTACATTTTGAATAACTTTCAATTGCCATTCTCAATATGAGGAATTTGAATTAGTCTACATAAAAAATTTGAGGTGTTGTGCATAGCACCGAAATATCAAACGTCTCTCATACATAATTTGCTAGTATGATGATGAACTCTATCCAATTTAGTCAACCAAACCTAATTTCCTTAAATTTTTAGTTGAAGGGATAGTGTGATCCATCGATATAATCAAGTGGTTATAAAAAAATACATAAACCGGAAAACTCTTACTAATTACATACCTTTTTCTTAAGGTTCACCACAGATTCAATCATCAATCGTACCTGCATAAAAAATTACTGAATTAGAAGGGTCATCTGATATACTTTAGCAGATGAAGAGAGAATAGATTTTTTTTCAAATAGACCTTTAATTAACAGCAAAAGAAAATTTAGCAAACTGTTAAACCACAGATTGATCATGCAAAAAAATGGGGACACTCTGTTATATTTCATCATCTAGTTAGAGACAATTGCGCCTGTGAACTTACAGTCGGTTCCGAGTCCAGATAAAAGAGGATTGCGCTTGGTCTTTCACAGCTAACATAAATTATTAATATAGGCTTGAAGATTATTCGTGTCCTAGATGGGTTGGTCAACAAAGAAAAGACAAAAATGAGGTAGGTCGTTTTTGACAAGTATACTAAGGTGAGTTAGCCTGACCCAAAAACGATGAAATATGTAGGCTAAAATGTTTTTGTCAGGTCAAATGAGGGTAGCTCTTTTTTGACAAATATACTAAGAGAAGCCTCAATTTATACAAGAAAGTCATGATATCTCTAACATGCACCCTTCTTGTCCTAAACTAGTTAAGACTGTAGATAAAAACTTGGAAAGAACTCCGAGGGGAGATTAAAGTACATCTTGCATTCACCCCTCCCCCCGCATCGGTTGACTTACATTGTCTTATTTGGTCATAAAAGCTATAATAGTATACTGGACTAACTTTTGCACATGCTTAAATTATCAGGTAGAGGTCCAAACAAGATTTTGTCTTTTAACAGTACCTTAAAATACTGACAAAATTGTCACCTAGAAATTTTGATCAATCCTCAAAATTTCAGTAAATATTACAGAACTTTTTAATTAATGAATGTTCAAATTCAAATATTCTTTGCTATTCTTAAAATAGTGCTTCTTTCGTTTTCAGGAACCAAATCCCAGAGCATAAATATGATATGCTAGCGTAAAATTCTTGGAACAACAGCCTTTTCATTTTCACAGTCAAATCTGAATGTTGTATTTTTTACTTAAAGAATTGAAGTTCTTTCACTGAATAGAGTGTAAAACCTTTGCTGATCTGATTTGCGAAAGTGCAGTGTGAATCAGTTTCTCTAGTTCCATAAGTTCAGTCACACTCAAATGCTCAGGTTCAGAAACACCAAAGTGCCTGCAATAAAATTCATATTCGGTGACTCGTTCATACCTTAACGTTGCAGGAAGAGGAATGCAAAGGATCACCTTTTGACCAATTGAGAAAACGCTGCACCAGACCAGATATCCGCAATTTCAAATAGGAGTTCCGGCTACCAACAAAACAAAAATTAATTAAAATAATCTCGTTAGTGATCTGTTTTTCTAAGCATCAGTTCTACCTTTTCACTTCAAATAATGACCCTAAAACAACAATATTTTAGGTATCACTTCAAATAATGCCTCTAAACCCTAAACTTTCTTTTTCTGATCAGCCACATTAAGACTGAAAAGAACTTAAAAATACAAGTTCAACGGAGCTAAGCACAATAAAAATATTTTCAATTGACAAGAAAGAAGAAAACAAAATTAAAAAAAAATAAAAAACACAACCATTAATAAATAACAGATTGTTCACAGAAAAGCGCATTCGCAACAAATAACTCTGATATTGCAAGTTTGTATCTTCCACTGTACTGAACTTCACCTTTATATTATAGTAACATCAAGAACCATAACATCGACAATAGGGCCAAGCTTCCCAGTCCATCGTAGTTTTATATTGAAATTCTCCTACCTAATTAATTTAGTTCCCAAGTAGCCACTTTATATATATATGATACCTTGACAATATTAAGTGTTCTCGTCATCCTTGCAGCTGGCATGAGATATTTCAGTTCATATATGTTTACATAAATAACTTTCTAAATGTTCTTATGGCAGCTACGGTGAAATTTTCATCCTTTGTTATCTATCATGCATAAGAAGCTCCATACCTTTGAGGCTGCGTCGCTTGCTTCTAAACAATCCCAGTATCGCTGGAGGACCTTGGTCAAACTGAGCCAAACATTGAATTCATGAAATTTACTTTCTAATATACTGAAATAACTAAATAATGAAAAAAATAAATGATAATTGATAGATTTCAGTGCAAGAAGTTGATTAACAGGTCCTTTTCGTGTCAGAGAAGTTTTTCACGTAACATGTAGTCAGATTGCTGGTATGCATACAAATAGGGGATGAATAAAAACGATAAGAACGGTTTTTTTCCTGGAAAAAATTTTAGGGAAGGATAGCATATCTCATTTCAAGCTTGGATAGTAACTTAATAAAACATATATTCAATAAATTTTTATAATTTAAGGAAAAACTGAAAATAGCTTATTTGAGTAAATTATAAAAATTATAAATTACTTTTATAAGTTCTTCAATACTGACCAAGGGAGATTACACCTACGCAGTCTTTTAAGAATTAAGAGTTTTAATTCATGGTAGCTAAAACCACTTAATCGACAATAAGATAGTTGTTTAAATGTAGCTATTAGAATGGATGTTAGAGTTAATCATATTTACGAGTCATGTTATGTTAATAATTTTGTTGGACAAGATTTATATAAGTTCTATTACACTATATACATATCTATCACATCATATATACCCTATTGTCTTTCTCATTTGGTCCTCGTAGTTTCAACATCTTGTCTTAGTGATTCCATCTTCCATAACCTAATCTATCATTACTTTTGTGGCCGAAATGATTTGCAACTCCTTCCACAGTGCATTAATTTCTCTTTCGTGTTGGATATGCACTAACTTTGGCCACTTACAATCCTCCAACTATTGTTGTCATGCTCATTTCCAGCACACATTAATGGTTGTGCTCACCTTCCCAACGTTTTCAACCTAGCTATTAAGGTTACCGTCCAGTTCTTGTCTATTCCAAATTCACATCGAACAATTTTGTAGTAAAAAATAACTGCAAAGGATCCCAGGCTAAGCTCTTGTTAAAATAAGTTAACATGCAATAGAAAAATTACAAATATAAATTTCTGTAAACTTGTACTGAGGGATTACAACTGCAGAGCGGTGCAGTTACCTCTGAACTCCAGAGGATCTAAATCTGTTAGACAGTTAAACTCATAACCTCAGTTCTATATGTTGGATAGGAGGTCAACAGTCAAATCGAAGGGTCAAGCGGTCGAATAAAAAACTCAGATAAGTAACAGATAAAAATATAATAAGATTAACTAGTTCATAATTTTAATAAACGCATGCATTCATTGCAAAGCCATATAAACAAAGCATTCCAAAATACCATGGTGATGCCAAAGACCATAGTTATCAATAGTGGCCGCAAGCGCAATCTAAGCAGAGTGGTACACCGCCATGGCGACCCGTAGTGTAGTGGTTCAGTTTTGCAAACAGTGGTTCGCGGCCGCTATCCTCTCCTTTCTAAATATTCTAAATTTGTCTTATATTTTTTTAAGTTGGGGGCTTTTAAGGGGGACAATCTTGAGATTTTGTCCTTTTATTTTCTGAATCTTCTCCCTCCCTCTGGCAATCCTAACCTCTCAACTATCATCTTTGTTCTTTCTGTTTCCACCCCTCGAGTATGACTTTCATTTCTAGCGAGGCTTTTAACAGGAAAAGGACTTTCTCTAATCATCTTTTTCATCTCTGGTTAAGCCACCAACATGACCCAGATTCGTTTGAGTCATTTACTTCATCTTTGGTCGTCTTCTTCAAGGTCAGCGAAGTTTCTGACGACGTCACCCAGACACTTTCCGGTTATCTTCTAACTTTTCTAGTGTGAACTGCACATCTTTTAGCAACTGAACATTTTTTTTCTATTTTTTCTTCTCCGTTTTTCATTTCTTTCTCAATTTTGATTCTCCTGTTCTATTCTGTTTCAAATTTCAAAGCTTAAAGTACAAGCAATGGCTGCTCCTCCACCCTTTCCTGGTTGTCTATAGCGTTTTTGAAGTCGGCCACTCTACACTGCTATCCGTGATTGAGTACTATGTGCCAAAATGTAAACCATAACTCCTTATACACCTTATTGCTATGTGCTTCAATTAATGAATTCCTTCCTGCATTTTAACAAAGTTTGATGATAGGATCGACATTTTAACTCTCTTAAAAGAAGGATCTTAAATTTGAACTTAGGCCTAATATAATCCCAAAATCTAGCTTGGAAGGTAAGAATTGTTTTAATATTTATAAGCTCTTATTTCACTATATTTGTAGTTGATACGGAACTTTAAAACACTCTCTTATGCTAAAGATTAGACATCCTAATTTTGCATTGGAAAAATAACTTGAAGAGCAGTTATCTAAGAAAGATTTTGTAGAATGCTTCTCTTATTAACCGCATTTTAAAGTCACGGAAAATGATTATTTGTTAACTGTTAAATGCTCTCTAGAGATACTTTTAAAGAAGAGTTATGCACCACTTTCACAAATTAAAATTTTAAAATGCTTAAAAACTTTTATCTTATAAATGAAGCACACTCAATTCACACATTGTAAATTTTTTTGTTTTTTCTACACTAACAAAGTTAGTTTTTTCACATTTATAGTTTATCCTCGTCTTCTTCATTTTCTATGTGTTAATAAAGTTGGATTATTTCATATCAGTAGGTACCTTTCTCATAGTTTTTTCTTCTTTCTTTTTCTCTTTATTAATATTGAAACATTTTATCAATTTATTTATTTATTTTTTTTGCTTACCAGTGCTTGGTTTATGTAGATATAAATTTTTTAGTTAACACAATACACAAACTTGAATTTTAATGCACAAGACAAGGAATCAATTTTGATTTATGATAAAAATAAAAAAATTTCAAACGTTAGGCTACAAATTTAAATTTAAACATAATAATAAATTAATTTTAGTTTATAATAAAAATTTAAAAAAAATTTAAATTTTAAAATTCATACTCATACTTTGAATACAATAGCGATTATATGAACTACTCTATAAGTGATATCCACTTAGAATAGTAATGTTTATTAGAGTGATTTAAAAAACAATACATAAGTGCTTTCTAATGTATTTTTTGGTTGTAGTGAATTCATGGACTCATTTTTCTTTTTATTCAAGGATGACCCAATGTAGGGTCTACTATATACCATAGCAGTCTATAGCGAGAACAATCGTTGAGGAGGAGAGCAAAGTGACACCCTGCCACAATCTTGGAGCCGTCGCATTATAGTTTAGTATAGCGGCTGTTGTGCTGCAATTCGCGGTCATGAAAGGGAAAAATCTCAGTCAGTGCGGCCGGTATGCCAAACAAGGGTAGAAGGGTAAGTTTGCCATCCCTTATAGAAAGTTGGAATACTTTTTAAAGAGGACAATTTTAGAATTTTGCCCCCTTTTATATCGTCAAAGTGTTTTTCTATTTTTACAAGTGAAGAACAAACCTCCCTTTATATCGCAACGTGTTTCTCTCATTCTCTTGCTTCAACCTCACTGGTGTCACTTTCTAAATGTAAGTCACTATTTTCAACCAAGTTCTAGTCATCTTTTCTGTATTTGACGAAACTCAACTTATTTCTAATGTAAACAGAAATGTTTTTTGATTGTCTTTTTCATGTCTACTGAAGTCTAAGCTATTTTTGACAAAATGTAAATATTTTTTTATGATAGTGAAACATTTTTTGATAAGATCATCTACATTAGAGTTTTGTTTAATGACTGACCACTCTTTAATTTTTATTTTTTCTATTTTAATTGTCTTCAGAATAGTAATCATAGCAATCATCCTGCTATAGCATTTTTTGAGTCAGTCATTTCACGCCACTATCAAACATTGACTATTATGCTATAGACTATAATATCATCTTAAATTTAAACTTAAAGATCTAACTCAACTTAAAAAATTAACTCATAATCTGAAGATGGCTTAACCTTTCTAAACTTTTATCAGGTCATGTTAAAGATGTGAATAAATTCTAACTAAATTTAAAAGGTAGCTCGTAAAGTAAAAATTACTTTAATTTAATAAAAACTTAAAAAGGTTAAAACAATGTTATCTTTATGAGCTAATTTTTAAAATTGAGTTAGACTTCAACTCAAATATAGGAAACTTTATGTTTTTTTTTTTTTTTCATATTCTTATTAGAAGTTATTGGAAAATGGAGAAGTGGAAACAAAAAGTCCTGCTTTGGATGGACAAAGAAGAAATGTAAGGAAATATAAACTATGAATGCAAAAGTTCAATTTGCTTTAGGCATTATAATACAGTAGCAACTGGCAAGCACAATTCCACAATAATACCAACTCATTCTCCTACAACTCAAGACTTGGATGAACACATTCATAACTTTAACATACAATTAAAACCCATATCGTTTCACAACTCATTGTTGATTTGAGGAAAAGTATATGACCTAAGACTTAAGGCCCCTTAAAAAGGTTCAATGAGAAATATTCAAGTAAATGATATAGATCTGTGACCTCTAAGACTCAAGAAAGGGAGTGAAAGTCCAAACGATAAATAAAATCAAAAATATAAACCTACAACCAATGACTATGGCCACTACTTGTAATTTCAACACATATTTCTGTTGGTTTTTATGTAAATTAGAAACGGAAGAAGAAGAGACACCGTCAATAATGAAAACCAAGCTTCGCTTTTTAATTACTATTATTATCAAAGAAAAATTATTAAAGAGTCAAATGTGAGACAATTTGCAAAACATGAAGAATTGTATTTCTCCATAAGAGCTCTATTGGTTCAGTCTCGAAGTTAAATGCTTTACATAAATATGTGAATTGAAGGACATGACTTTACATGAAGAAGCATCGAGTAAGAGAATGTGATTATAACAAATACAATTGAAGTAATATGTCTATTCATAAGAGAACAAATTAGAATAAAGTTGACTCTTCATATAAAATACAAAGTATAAATGTGTGACTATACATTAAATGGTATGATTTTTTATGACAGGACATCAATGAAATTAATGTGACTTTATGCACAGACAAAATGTCTATAAATCAAGAGGTGGAAAATACTTCTCTAGTACCATATGTGCCTAGTCCTACTTTT